TGAAAGCTGTTCTGTCTGAACCAATACAACATCCTTACCTTACAGGGATACCATCTTTATAGCGAGTGCCAATCTCACTAGTAGAGGTAACTTCATCACAACCAGAACGGGAAGTTTCTAATGTGTTTTGCTCTGTGCAGTTCCAAATATCTTTCTTGGATGGGCTGTCTGGTTTCTCTTCTCCAGATTCAGAAGACTCAATGGCTACTACTTCTAACTGAGGATTAGGAATTTCAAGGACTTCCAGAGAGGAGTCACTATCTGGCTCATCTCTGACACTTTCTTGTTCTGGACCAGTTCTGCTATCTTCCCAGGTAGAGGTTGTAACTTTCCCTCCTTTAGTGGACTTTCCAGTTTTTACTTTCCTCACAGGTTTAGCAGTAAATACATCCTGCTCAGTGTCACTGTTCTCAGGGACATGGGCAGCCCGCAGAGTTTTCTTCTTCCTCAGTTTTTTCTTTTTCTTGTTTCCCTTCGTTTCAGCTGATGTTAGAGTGGACTCTGCTTGTTGTTCAGGCTGGTCAGCTGGAGAGTGAGGCTCCTTCTCTAAAGGGGTTTCTGAAGCAAAAGACAATCTTGGAAAAGAGCTGGTACAGGCTTCAGACCCACTATTGCCTTTGTTTGGCTCTTCACTTTCTTTATTTATGGCAGGAAGACCAACTGATTGGCAAGAGGAAGTGTTTTCTTTGTTTCTGGTATTTCCTTGCTCCACAGGAAACTTCAGTTCTTGGATAGGCTCATGGAAACTTCCTGTTAGCTCCGATAAGGACAATGTCGTAGTGATGCCTGGATAAACTGGGCAATAGTCACTGATCTCTCCTGAATTGAAAAGAAAAAAATTACTGCATTTTTTTTTGTGTCTGCTATTTATAGTCATAAACTGGAATTATCTGTCACTGATTGACTCTCTACCAAATAATGCCATTTCAATGATATGTTAACTAAGCCATGACTGTTAAAGCTGTTATCTCACCCCTCAGCTTCCCATAANCCATATTTCTAATTTGGAATGTAGAAATTCTTCAAAGGGCACTAAGAATTGGGTATCAGCCTCTTAAGTAGACAAAGATAAAGTTAAAGCTGCATTTGATATCTAAAAAGGAAAACGAAGACTATAGTTATATATATAATTGCATTAATCAAGTATGTGCTTTTCTGCAATTGATTCTCTATTTTAATAGCTCCTAAGTGTCTACTTCAATCCAGTGTCAGGTTAGCTGGTCCATAATTACCCAAGAAGCTTTTAAACATATAGAGCCCCAAGCTTCACCCCCAATCACTAGATTCTAATTCAATAGGCTATGGAATACGTTTTTTTTAAAAATTTCCTTAGTAATTCTATGCATATACAAGTTAAACAAGCACTGTTTGATCTGACCTTCAAGAAATGGCTTCCATGGATTTCCAGAACTAGGTTATACTAGTAAATCTAATTACCTAGAACCTAGAATAGGACCATTAACATAGTAAGTGCTCAAGATCTGTTGCTGAATGATACTAAGCAACTAAAGGCCCAAGTGTAGCTTATTAAACAGGTTTGGATGCAGATGTTAAAATGGTTATAAGTGGGTAGGATGGGACAAGCTGTGGGTAGAATGACAAAAGCAGTAGGCTGCCAAGCATTTTAACACTTCTCCCAACCTTCTTTCATACCTAAAAGTCCATCTTTTAGGTTTTCAATTTCCCCCATAAAATTATAAATATAAACGCCACATGAAATTGTAAAATAAAGAAAAAGACAGTAATATGCCCAAATGTTACAATTCCTGTTACCTCTGGTTAACCCATGTGAGATATTTTTGTAATTTTATAGAGGAAATTGAATAGCATACCTTAATAAAAAGAACTATTGGCACATACAACAATGTACAGAACTTCAGATATTATGGTGAGCCAACGCTAGGCATGAAAAAATACATGCAATATGGTTTATTTATATGAAGTTCAAGAATGAACAAAATCTACTTTGACAGAAGTCAGAATAATGGTTATTTCTGGGGGTGGTAGTGACTGGAAGGTGCATGAGGGAAGCTTCAGAGGGATGAAAGTGGTCTGTATTTTGATGTTGGGGCGGTGGTTACACAAATGTATACCTATGTAAAAATTCATCAAACTGTATACTTAAAATTTGTGTACTTAACACTATATAAAGTTATACCTCAATTTCAAAAACTGGCTAAAATTTTGTTTCACTATTGTACAGTCTCACTATGCCAAGCACTACTCACGTTAGAACCTTTAAAATTAATGTAAAATCTTTTAAACATTTTTGCTAGTTTTGTAAGTCAAAATACTACTGAACTTTTGTTTTAATTTCCATTTATTGACAAGACTATTTTTTTCAAATA